ATATTAGGATAATGCATAAATAGTAAGAGTCGTATGATATTATCCCATTCCAAATTCAGCTGATGCACATGCACAAAATTGGATTAAAATACAAAATGTCCTTGTTTATTTCCAAGGTGATGCAACATGCAATGTGATTGAAACATTAATTGTGAAAAAATACATAATATTAGTAGGCAATATGCAGTGCAAGTAGGCAGCATTTGCTGTAAGATAGTATTTCATTCTGAACAAAGCCCTTGTGTTGTGTTATTGATCGACGCAGCAGCTGAGACGCCCACATACACAGGGATCCGTGGCACACAAAGGGTTAAAGCTCGATTTGTGAGGTGTATGTAAGCGTTTGAGGTCACATCTGGATAGATGAGGTCTACTGTTGCTGTGATACTAAGGTTCAAAGGTCAAACTTGATAGAGAGCAAATGCAACTGCAGTTTACACAGAGAAAATCAATGCAGGCTGAGTTTAAACGACTTTAAACGCCTGCATTCGGGTTAAAGCAATAGTTCAGCCAAACAGGAAAATCTGTTAGCATTTTTCCACCCTGCATGAGTTTGTTTCTTGCATGGAACAGAAGAGAAAGGTCTATTTGATTACGCTGTTTTTACTCATGCAGTGTTAGTAGATTGTCAAAAATCCATCATGAAGGAAAGAACTATAATGTTAAAGTGTAATAGGTATATACTACTGGAAAAGCACACACATGCACACACACACACACACATGCACACAGGCAGCTGTAAAACGATATATATATGGAGCCAATGTTGCACATTTATAGGATTAATTTACTGGCTATCAAATCATGGCTGTTTATGAGCATATTTCTCTCTCTCTCTCTCTCTCTCTCTCTCTCTCTCTCTCTCTCTCTCTCTCTCTCTCTCTCTCTCTCTCTCTCTCTCTCTCTCTCTCTCTCTCTCTCTCTCTCTTTTAATTCAGCCCATAAAAATGATAAAACTTGTGGCCCTGAGGGGAGGCGGGTTTCCATAGCGATGTCACGAGAGACATATGATAGAGGAGGAATCACCCATCGAATAAACCAGCGTGGACGGCTTTTATTTTTCAGCTAAATGAATTCTTCATCACTCAGTCCTGTTGTAAAGCACACCAGACGAAGATAAATGTGGACAGTCGGTCGTAGACAAGAAAAGAGGAATGAAATTGGATGCTATTAGTGCTATTTCTACAATGTGTAGTATATATACTTTGCACTGTATGCTTATGCATGAAATACCGTTGCATATTGATTGCATTTGACAAAATGTGCAGTGTGCAACATTGGTGCACATCCTGTTGAGATACTTTATCCCACAATGCAACGTCAAGTCACCTTTAATTCTACAGTGCTTTATACAATACAGAATGTTTTAAAGCAGCTTCACATAATAGATAGGATAATAATAGAATTAGTATCCAAACTTCATCAAATATGAGACAAATAGAAATTCTGCTGTAAAGCAGCTCCATTCAGTTCAGTTCAATAACTCTGTAAAGTTCATCAATTATGGTCAAGTCCAGCAATGAAATATTAATAATACCAATCACAAATTTGTAAATATGTCGTTCTTATATGTCACTCATTTGATGTGTATGCCAAAATTTTGACTATTTTTACACAAATTTGTGTTAAAATGCAGAATAACGGTGAGTTAGAAATGCAAACTAATGGTGTTTGAGGATGATTAACTGCCACCTACTGAATTAAACATGCAATGTATGAACTGCTATTTGAAACGGATATCATTATTGCAATGCATAGTTGCACATGCTATTTTTAATAAACAGTGCTCAGTATACAGTATATTTTGTGCAGTATTTCATTTTAAACATGGCCGAAGTGTGTACATCGTGCGCTGTTTGTTGATTTGGATTGACTGCTTGGTTAAACAGGAACTGAATTTGTTCATTCAGGCCAGGAATTGAAAAGCGTGAAGAGGTAAATATCCCCCTTCCTCCCTCTCTCTCTCTCGCTCTCATCTCACATTTATCAGTCGGGATCTATCACACTTTCTTATTTTCATTCCCTCTTCGACACACGCGTTCGTACCCTGCAGTGAGGGTGTTTGGAGTTCGTCTCTGAATATGAATGGCCTGTTTTCTGTTGTAATAGAAAAACGACAGAACAAAATGAAAGAATACACTGTAGTAACAAGAGGAATGCATCACTATGCTGTACATGTATACCTGTACATTTACTCACCTTACATGTCCTCTCACCTCACTAGATCAATACTCATTTTTAATGCTATTTTGTATCGTGTGTGTTTGTGTGTCATGCGCTGACTTGATATGATAATCCAGACAAAGATGCTTGACGCAGATGAACGATGAAATAACATTTAATAAACACCAGGAAACATACATAAAACACCTGCATGAAACCAGATGAAGACTGAGGGTATAAATACAAAAGATGAAAATAGACTGAATTAAGGACAGGTTTTGGCGATTAGTTGACATGGAGATAAACCAGGATAACTAATAAGACAGCAATGGAGACAAGGGAAACAGGAACTAAAGACATGGGAACTAAACACTGGCAATAGAAGACAAAAGGATATCGAAACAAAAGTCATTTCACACACAGAGATAGAGGAATCGTGACGAATTGAAATTATATTTATTTTTAGGAAATTACATAATTTTATTCGTTTTTATACTTATAAAAAAATTAAGATATAAATCCCAAAAAATATAAATGGTCCCTTCGTTTTCTTTATGCGAATATATTTTATTAATTATTTTATTTTGAACGTGGTCAAATTCGATCAGGACGTGTTTCTGTGAGATTCACCTCATTAAACCTCCTGCTAACTGCACACACACACACACTCAGTTATGCAAAAACTAAAACACGAAAGCAAAACGTCCTTCAGACAGAATCCAATCACTATATGCTATGTGTGTGTGTGTCCGCTGCTAAAGCGTGTCCTCACTTCCCCTCCGACACGCTCCCAGCGCCTCATCTCTCGTTTCCTTCCATCTCTCATCGCCCTCACCGGCTGAATCCCATATGCAGGAAAATATCAAATCATTCCATCTGTCACAGGGTTGAGAGAGGCCTAAACTCCATCAATAAAGGCATGTACATTAGTACGTTTATATGACTTACTGTGTGCACTATATTCAAGTCTTCTGGAGTCATGCTTTCTGTGAGGAACAGACTGAACTTTAAATCATTAATCACTGTAAATCTCTCCCGTTTCTCATTTGCATATTCAAATATGGCACTGGAACAAGGTTGGAAGTAAATGATGTCAAACATTGTTGGTTCTAACAGGCCTTTTGACTTAATGACCCCATTTTCAGTCAATAATATGTTAAATATTGGTCTGTTACTCACACAAAACTATCATATGACTTCAGAAGACCTGGAATAAAGAGCATGGGTCATAAAGATGGATGTTATGATGCTTTTTAATCTTAAACTGCAGCCCCTGGTCACTGTCTGCTTTCATTGTATCACTGTATTATTGTGTTTTATTATTGTTTTGTATTGTTTCGTTGTGACAATGTTCCATTGTTTCATTGTATTGTTGGATTTATCATTAACTACATTTGAATGTCATTCCAATTGATAAATCTGAACATAGTGTTTACATGAACGTTAAATAAAGTGATGGATGCACTAAATAAAGATGCGCTAAATAAAGTGGGTTGATGTACATGTTTATATGTCACAAGCTTCAAATTGGAACTGATCTTTTGTATATACAGTGTCCTGCTGTTGGGTCATACTAACCATCCGTATCATTGTTTCATTGTGTCATCATATAGTGGTTTTGTCATTTCACATCATTGTTTTGTTATATCAATGTTTTGCTGCATCACTGTAACATCTTTTGTGAATGTGAGCAGAGCGATACTTGTATGGTTAGATTCAGATGACAATGACCCTGGGATTTGCACCCAAGGAAATACAAAAGGAACACAGGTTCAGTGGTACAATGAAAAGACAGACGTGTTGTCCAATAAAAAAAAAGGAAAAAAGAAAATCAAGCCAGAATCATCATAATCATCATACACCCACCCATGTTCCCATAAAAGGATAACCAAATGAAGGGGAGATCCCACACTACTACATGAAGAAAGTCACACAGGTTTAACACAACATAAGGTAGAACTATCCTTTTAATTATGAGGTACTTACTACGTTAGCAGGAGTGATAAGAGCTGTAAATCGACTGTGTGTGTGTGTGTGTGTGTGTGTGTGTGTGCTGTGCTGTATTGAAGGCCAGTTGGCATGGCTGCGCTCCAGACGAACAGCAGGTTGGCATCAAACTTCCCCGATGAACACACACATAGACATGTGAAGGTCAGAGGGAGTGATGGAGTGTTTGACCTCTGTTAAACCCACCTGTGTGATTCAGTGTCACACACACACAAGCAGCAGCGCTATACTGTATACTGTACTGAATTTGCTCTGTAATAGATGGCTGAGAAACGTGTGTGTTTAATGTTTCCTGACAGAGATGAATGTCTCACGAGTTCTCGTAATGATCTCCGCACACGCGCTATTCCTCCTCATCCTCCTACTTCCTGCTGGAGGAACTACATTACCTGTGCGAAAGAGGAAAAGATGGCAGAGCGCGAGACAGTGTTTCTCCTCGTCCTCCATTTGTCAGGAAGTGTTTACACTGAGCTATTGCTCAAAGTCAGCGCAGTGAGTGTGTGTGTGTGTGTGAGATGATAAAACATTTGCCAGAAGGCTGCTGCATTGTTTCTCCTGTGTGTTTGCCAGAGTAAAGCTCTCCTCTCCTCCATCAGATTCTCTCGCTTCCTTTCATGCCATCTGACTGAATCTACTCTGTTTTTCTTTCCTGGAGAGAAAAAAACAAAACAAAAGAACATGAATATAAAAGATGAGAGAGTGTGTGCGTGTGTGTGTGTGTTTGAGAGAGACATAAACACATATCAGATATCAGATGAAATAAAGGCTGGTTTTAGGCCCAGAAAGATTTAGTTTTATCATATTAAATGAAGTCTTTCTCTGTTTTTCAGGGCTGGACAGCACTAAAGACCCCTGTCTGAAGGTTCGCTGCCCTCCTCACAAAGTGTGTGTGAGCCACGACTTCCAGACGGCCATCTGCACCAATCACAAACCAGCACAGCACAGGTAAGACAGGTGTGGGTGCTGAGATGGAGGAAGGTAGAATGGTACAGACTGTTTAATCAACTAGAAAATAAACATTTGTCTAGTTTAAAGGTTATTCAGTTTGGCAACAGTTATATGCCTTACGGAGTGGTTGCTATGTAGTTGCTGAGGTTTTTTGGGTGGTTGCTAGGGCAAGGGTTTTAAATCTTTTAGATGCTACAAACCCCTAAATATGATAATTCTCATGTGAGGGACCTCATCCTAATATTAGGAAATATAAGGCAGCCACATATTTTCATGTATAAAGACCTAATTTATACAGTGAAAAACTAAAATTATACAAAAAAAACATAAATAAATGGAAAATATTTTGTATTGTATATATATATATATATATGTATGTATTGTTCTCACTATAGTACTTTGCTGTTAGATGCATTATTTTTTATTTAAATGTATTTATTTATTTTAATATTTTTTGCTACCACTTTACACCAAGTAGTGATAGTTACCATTCGTTAATGCACCGACTAACATTAACTAAAAACGAGCAATACATTTGTTACAATATTTATTAATCTTTGTTAAAGGTGCTCTAAGCGATGTCATGTGTTTTTTAGGCCAAAACATTTTTTGTCACATACAGCAAACATCTCCTCACTATCCGCTGGCTGCCTGTCCCCTGAACACACTGTAAAGAAACGCGATCTCTGTAGACAGCCCATGCTTCACAAACAGCACCAAAAACAAACTGCAGCGACCCGCTCCCCAAAACATAACAAACTGTTCCAGCCAATGACCGACAAGAAGGGTTTGGGGGAGGGGTTTGGGGGGTTAGTGTGCAGATGAGGAGGAGGGAGGGTCTAGCTAGCCTCCGTTTTGTTTGACAATAGTTCGAACGTCAACAAGAAGTGACGTCACCCAGGATCGCTTAGAGAACCTTTAATGCTACTGATACAAGATACAACTTTTGATTTTAATAATGTATTAGAAAATTAACTAAGTAGAATTGTTAGTTCATGGTAACTAATGTATTTAACTAATGTTATCAAATGAAACCTTATTGTAAAGTGTTACCATTTGTTATTATTAATTTTAATCAATAAATTTTTATTTTCTTTTATACAGTTTTTAGACTAATTTCCCCCTGCTGAACAGCTGTTTGGTGCAGTTGATGAATCTTTTACCAGAACAAACTAACTTAACTAGTCAAACTGGAAGCTCAAAGTGTTTCTCACTAGCCTAATTCTTGACCAATTATTCCATAACCATGATTACAAATGAGTTCTAAGCACTAGATAAATGAGCATGTGTCCTTGTGTTTAATCGGCCTCTGAGGTATTTACACTCGGGAAGCTGCTCCGCTTCTCCAGGGTCACATTAACATTCTATTGGTGTCTGTTGTGAGTCGTTGTCATAGTGACAGCGGAACATTGAGGGAATGTCATTCCGGCCTCTTGACTCCGCCCTCTTTATGTTTGGTCAAACAAATATGAATTGTGTAATGGCCATTAGAGCTGGTCCAAGAGTTTACGAAGCTAAATTACTAACGCCCTCTTACATATGCGAACACAAAGAGCATGCTGGCAAGGCAAATATCACATCTCCCTTAGAAATAACAACATGCTGATCCGATTAGAAAGCCAAGCACACTGCGAGCGGGTGATAATGCTTTCCCTAGGATTTATCGCTGCATTGGTCAATCTATCATTAATGACCAGCACATGAGGTGTAGCTTCCGCTTCTGATCATTAATTCACACCTTAAAACACTGCAGTACATAATGCATGAAGAGCACTGCTAGATTATGCACAACAAAATAACACGTTAATAAATCATAAGAAGACTCACATGGAATCTCCAAACTTTTCACTGTTTCTACACTAATTGTTGAGGAAAATCAGTTAAATGGATCTGGTACAAAGTGTTAAAAGGAGCTGATATTGGTAGTGTTAAAGCATTATCAAATTAACTGAAAAATAAACAAACTCTGCAGTTTCCATACAGGCCTCGGCTCTGGTCTAATATCTAGTGTGCTCCCTTGCAGTTTCTCCCATTCATAAGTAATAGGAGTGCACCTTCTTTGTATATCTATAGTCTTTGATTAACGGCACATAGTGAGACGAGGAGAGCTGAGTCTACTTCAACAGGTTCTGATAACGTTATGACTGTCTTAACTTATTTTCTTAATATTTCTCTTGTGGCCCATATGTGGTGAAAAAAAATGAAAAGAGAAGTATTTCGTGTTAAACAATTTGTTGTTTGAGTAAGTTTTAAGGAGTAAACTAATCTAACATCTTTTATTATCATCGCAGAACCTCGGTAATGCAGTGATGTGATTAATAATAAAAGTAGCCTTTAAAGTACCCCCCTAATGCTGGGCCTGACATGCACCATTATGCGTAACACGAGTTTTAACCATTAGTGATGAGATTTTAATTGAAGTGTATATGAAGAAGAGACTCATGCTGGTTGTATGAATAGACTGTATTTCTGCTGTAAGACTGATTTGAGAACAGATCCAACACAGCAGTGTAATTTCCACTTCCAAATACACTTCAATATAATGCAATGAAGTGTCAATTACAGATAATGTAATGCACAATAATGTGCTGTAATACACTCCATTATACAGTATCTCACTCCATTATCCAGCAGTTCAGTACGTAGACTTTAAAAGCGTCGGCTGAAGATGAGCACTTCATAGTGACCAGATACAAATTCTCCTCATGATCAGTCAATAATGTTTGTGAATTTGGCGGATGGGTTCAGAAGCACTGGGAGCGAGTTCAGCTTATTACACAGCTCTCTGGAGGACACGACTGTGATTGGTCACCGGGAGCATTCGGCCAATGTTTTTGTATAATGATGCTAAACTGTAGCCGCTTGGCCATTGTCCCCTTTAAATGATTTCCTAAATAGCTGTGCTAGTTTAAAATCATATCAATCCATACTCTCTTTCTCCTCACGTAATAAAATAATTTAAACTCAAATCAATATTTCATGTCCGCTTATTTGGTTTGTACGCAGTTGTGTAATAAGTGAGAAAATGTACAGTCAGCTGGTTATTAGCAGAACATAAACCCCTTCAAGATGACATGAGACAACTCTGGTTATCCTTTATATATAATGAATAAAATAGAAAAACAGAAAAGAAAGATTTGTAAAGAAATGTAATATTTTTATAAATTCAAGGATGCATTCAATTGATCAAAAGTGGCAGTAGACATATGTACATTATGTCACAAAAGATTTCTGTTTCAAATAAATGCTGTTCTTTTGAACTTTCTATTCATCAAAGTATCCTAAAAAAATATATATATCACGATTTGCACGGACGAGCTAAATCATTTCTACACTCGGTTCGAAGGACATAACACCACCGTCACGAGAAGTTCTCCCGGTTAGTTCTTTCACAGTCTCTTTAGCGGATGTAACCTGATCCTTCCATCAGGTGAATATCCACAGAGTCCAGACAGCATCCCGAGTCGCATACTCAAACCATTCGAGCACCAGTTAGTGGATGTTTTACAGACATTTTCAATCTCTTCCTCTTCTTATCTGTGGTGCCCACATGCTTCAAAACGTCCTTCATCGTGCCTGTACCCAAACTAAAATCACATGCTTAAATGACTGGCGGGCTATTGCTCTAACCCCTATTATTAGTAAATGCTTCAAAAGGCTGATCAGAAACTACATCTGTTCTGTGCTGCCTGCCAAACTGGACACACTGCAGTTTGCATACCGTGGCAATTGCTCTACTGATAATGTCATACATTACACACTGCTAGAAAACCTAAAGGAACACATATGTGAGAATGCTTTTGTAGACTACAGTTCAGCATTCAACACCATAGTGCCCTCCAAACTTGACAGCAAACTCTAGGCTCTGGGCCTGAACAGTTCTCGGTGCAGCTGGAAACTGAATTTCCTGTCAGGCAGATGCCAAGTAGTCAGAATGGGTAACAAGACCTCCTCCCCAAGGACCTCCTCCCCAATGACACACACAGCTCTAATACCATCTTCAAATTCGCTGACGATACGACTGTAGTAGGACTGATCACCGGCGACAATACAATGAGACGGCCTACAAGGGGGAGGTGAACGCCTCGACTCATTGGTGCCAGGAGAACAACCTCTCCCTCAATGTCAAAAGGACCAAAATGTTAGTAGTGGATTCCAGGATACAGGACACATCCCCATCACCATCAACAGCACACCAGTGGAGAGGTTCAGCCACTTCAAATTCCTTGGCATCCTCAACACCAAGGACATGGTTGCTGCACACAGAGGCAGTGGTGAAGAAGGATAGGACGGCTAGAAGATAGAAGAGGGTAGCCTTGATAGAAGATAGAAGGCTAAGGAAGTTTGGAATGAGCCCCCGCATCCTCAGCTTATTCTACACCTGCACCGTAGAGAGCATCCGGACAGCCCGTCACATTGTTGTCCACCCTCCAGAACATCTACACCAGGCTGTGTATGAGGAAAGTGTGGAGGATCATCTGTGACTCCAGCCACCCCAGCCTTGGACAGGCAGACGGTCCCGCACCAGCTGGCTAAGAGACCGTTTCTTCCCACAGGCCATTAGACTTCTGAACACTTAACTAATGGCCCCTCAATACCAAAAACCCCATAACCACCAACACAGCACTTCTCTGGACTAGACACATCATACACTTCTAACACTTCTACACATCTTAACTGTAAAAAAAAACATGCTATTATGTGTATACTTTATTTTGTACTGTATTGTGCATATTAAAATGTGTATATACTGTGTATATATTGTCATGTGACACCGAAGGCTGTGGTAATGATGCTGAAAATTCGGCTTTGCATCACAGGATTAAATTACATTTTAAAATATATTATTACAGAAAACAGTTCATTTAAATTGTAATACTATTTCCACAATATTATTTTAATCAAATAAATGAGGCTTTGGTGAGCATAAGAGCCTTCTTTTAAAAGGGTGGTAAAATGCCATTTTCACAAGATGTAAAATAAATCTCTGATGTCCCCAGAGTGTGTGTGAGAAGTTTTAGGACAAAATACCCCACAGATATTTTTATATAGCATGTTAAAGTTGTCACTTTTTGAGGCTTTGCAAAAACGCACCGTTTTGTGCCTGGCCCTTTAAATGCAAATGAGCTGCTGCAGAGGGCGGGGTTTCAAGAGCTCTTGTGTGTAGTGATGGGAAGTCCGGTTCTTTTCCGCGAACCGGTTCTTTCGGACAGTTCGTTTCAATGAACCGGTTCACCAGTTCTTTTACGTCATCACGTAATGACGTCAATTCTATCACCCCGGCGGATAAAAATACTTTAAATTAAAGGCATTTGTAATCATAACTCATGGTATAAATAATAGTACTCATTGTCATTATCATATTGGATAAGTTTCTTAAATTTACGTTTTGCAAACGAACCCAGCCTACAGGCGATGTGCAAACGCGGATGTTTTACATGTCTTAAAGATATAAAGTGCATAAATGGTCTTCATCATTCTATTTGTTATTAAATAAACTTACATTTTGCCGAATTCGGCCCCTCATTTAAGTCCTCGGTTCACCCGTGCTGCGTGCTCATGTATCAGCACAGCATCAGTTGGCCGAAATAAAGTTTTGTTTAGAGACGGTGTTATCACGCATGCACAGTATCTCCAGCTCATCGGTTCTCCGTATCGAACGTGTCCGAAAGAAACAGTTCTCGGTTCTGTACTGGTTTTAAGAACTGCAACAACCAGTTCTTGACTAGAGAACCGTCATAGGCCTGTGTGTGCTGAGCTGAGAACTGCTGAAACCTGAATACAGTCGACAAAACTAAAAAATCGATGCATGTCTCCTGTTTAATACGTTACGTTTTTAACACATTATAAACATTTACTAAGCAGTGCACCATTAAAACCTTGGCAAGAGTTTACATCAAAGATTTACTTTAAACTGCGTGTTCCCGGGGGCGGGGTTTATGTACATTCTAGGGTTGCTGATGTCACTAACCCAGGAGTAATGTTGTGTAGTCCCTACCAGCCGTTTGTTGTAGTCCTTTTCTTTAAAAGCAAATATCTTCCTTTGCTTTGAACTTTGAGCGTTGTAACTTTGATAATGTTGTTTATGCTCAAACAGCAACATTTCACACTAACTAAAGTTAGAAAAGTGAAATCATACTTTACCACCCCTTTAAAATCAAAACGGTATTGTAAAAGCTGACCACAAACAAACATACCCGTTTATCAAATCTCTGATATTGTCACTCATCTGTTAAAGTGCTTCTGTCACCTGTGAGACACAGACAGTGATCATGTTTGTTTATCTCCTTCAGATGATCAGACTTCACGCTTTATATGAGATATTGACATTTTGACTGTGAACAGGAGTGACATTATAGACGTCTTTTGTCATGTCGTGATATGTGTGTGATATCTGATCAGCCAGTGCTGTGTAAGATTTGATCTCCTCATAAAATCCGATTACCCTCAGATTCGACCGCTAGGTGTTTGTAATGTCTGTCAAATCTTGATTGGGCTGTTGGCACAAGACTGCAGATAATCAGAGCTAACTTAGCATGCTAGTTAGGGCTTGACACTTACTCTTTTCCCATGTAGCACATCATGTGCACCTATTTTAAAATATTTAGTAGCAAAATACAAAATCTAAAGGGATACAAGGACACATTTAATAGAGGGATAAAATTAAACATTTAAAAAAGGATTTAATGTATTAGAATGCAAAAAATACACTTTTTTAAATATTCCTTTATATTTCTATTTTAAATGTTTTTAAATATTTATTTTTCAAATTGTATTTAATAATATGTATGTGTGTGTGTGTGTGTGTGTGTGTGTGTGTGTGTGTGTGTGTGTGTGTGTGTGTGTGTGTGTGTGTGTGTGTGTGTGTGTGTGTGTGTGTGTGTGTGAGAGAGGGTATATATATATACACACACACACACATATATTAGATTGTGTAAACATAATCGGTTTATTATAGTTATAAACTGTAGATAAATGTTTAATTTGACCGTGTATTAAATAATTAAATGTGTCGTACTGTATATAATTACAAAAAAAAATTAATTGATGAATTTTCATGGCTTACATTACATAAATTATATAGAAATCCAAATCAGTTACTAAATAACACATTTTTCTACTGGAAAGTTTTCTGAGGATTGAATCTGTGTTCTGATATCAAAATAAACAAATATATGCCTTCATTTGTGACACTTCCCACTCATTCTCTCTCTTCCTTTCTTTAGTGTTAAACCCAGGAACGGAAATCTTCCCCATAAGCGTTGGATGGGAGCTATGAATCATGGGAAATGTAGGCCATGTCCTGTAGTTCACTCCGACTCAGTGTGTGGCTCGGATGGACACACATACTCCTCAAAGGTGAGATATTCATAGAAGAAGTTCTCAAATATGTTTTTAAGAATATCTGTTTCATGCCGACTTTAAGAAACGTTTTTTTTTTTGGAATACAAAATATTCTTAAATATATTTAAAGTTGGCATGAAATGGAAGTTGTGTGAGTCCCCTACTGTGACGTGTATTTGAGTGACTTCTACAACAAGGAAAAATATCCATTTTGATTTCATAATGTCTTTAAGTTAGAATATAAGAAGAAATCATTTATTTAAAATTTTATTCTTAAGAATGTTTTATGAATCCAGAGTTCAATCTGATCTCAGGAATTTAACCTGAACACCATCAGACGCAGGATCATTGTGTCCCAATGAGGAAAGAGTCACCTTTAAATTCCAATATCAGCGCGCAGCTCTCTCTCTCTCCTGGTGTAAATGATGCCGTGTTTGGTGATGGATGGTTAGGTGGATGAACTGTGTCCGCTGTTGATATTGGATTCTTGAGTCCTGCGCAATCTCCCCTTAAGAGCAGAGAGAAAAACCTGAACCTCCAGCCCAACCTGTGCCTCCCGTCTATGACCTCACTGCTTTAACCCCACCCACTCCATTTCCTTCCCTTCAGCCAGAATTAAATCAGATGTGAGAGATGGAGTGAGAGAGAGAGAGACTCAGTTTGAACAGATAGAGGAGAGGGTTTGGACAGATAGAGAAATGAACAGCATGACACGGAAAATATTTGGACTGCTCTTATTGGGCAGCTTCTGATATTTTCAGCTGGAGAATCACTAACACTATATAGATAAAGATTATCATAAATGAACACATCCATGGAAAAAAAAACTGTAATTCTTATTAGTGTAACAAGAAACAAAAGAATAATAAAACAATCTGAAACTAAACTGAAATAAAACCAGCATACAAAATAAGATTAAATACCAAAATTAAATATTTATGCACCATTAAAAATAGAAAACCATCATACAAAATAAAATAAACATTTTCAAGCTATGCTGTAATTACCCTGATGCAGACTTTTTTTTTTTTTTTTTGTTACTGTATTTAACTACATCTAGACAGATGAATAGATAGCTAGATTTAGAATACATTATACAGAGAAAGATTATAATAAACAAAAACATCCATGGACAGTAATTTTCATAAGAAAACCCAAAATTAAAACTTTATACATCATTGAAACAAACGGGAACTAGACAAATAGAAAACTAGCATATTAAATAAAATAAAAATAATAAAATCAAGCTATATACATATATTGCAGAGTTTTTTGTAGTGTTTTTATTTAACTACAAATAGATGAATGGACGAACGGACGGGCGGATATATAGTGTTGTCACGATGTGGGTTTGTGTCCTGTCATATTCTTTGGTTCCCTGTCTTGTCTATTAGTTATCCCAGGTGTTTCTGATTTCTCACGCCCCCTTGTTATCGTGTCTAGCTCGTTTGTCCCTGATTATTTAAGCCTTGTGTTTCAGCCTTGTCTTTGTGAGTTCTTGTTTAATGTTTAACGCTAGTGTTGGTTGTTCCTGTATCCTGTTCCTGAGTCTTGTATCCAGTCTAGTCTTTATAGTTTGTAGTCTGTCTGTTAAATAAAGCGTGTGCTGCACTTGGATCCAGCCTCTTCTCTGCTTCAACCGCACCACGTTACAAGTGTGTTGGTGGTGTTTCAGGAAGAGTAGATTCACACAATCCACTGAAAACTCACATGTAGTAAATAAAATGATTTGTAAATGTTCTGTTTGCATGTATTATAAGCTGAGTATGTCAAAAACAGACGTCAAGATTTTTCGCTGACAGATGTGATTCATTTATTCTCTGAATGCATTTGTGTTCATCTGAAGCACAGAATAGCCCTCTTTACTGAACAAAATACCTTTTCAGTGTTAAAATTAGATACAGGTCTTAAAGGAGTCATGAACTGCCAAATCAAATTGTCCTTGAGAGGTCAATATACTATGAGAGTTCATTGTACTATAAAAATATCCTGTAAGTTTCAGAACTCAAAACCTCCTCGTTAGTCCAAAAACAACTTTTTTTGAAACCTAGCTCAGAAATCGTCTTGTTTCGGATTCTGTCACATTATTACGTATTATTATAGTGCGAGGAAAGACCGCCTCTGCAGAAGATCAACACCTACTTCTACATCATTGCCTCTTTAGCTCCGCCTACCGGTTTGCCGAGACAGACACAAACACAGGATTACTTGAGCAACAAAACCACAGAGGATTGCAAGATGTTTTGAAGTACCAAGTTTCTAGGTTCCATCCTTGTGATCCTAAAAGTGTATCGGATGAACTTTATTTTTAACGAAGTTCCGATCAAATCATTAAGACACTGTTCGTTTGATCGCTTCATTTTACTGTGGATTCTTTTCTAAACAAGACACCATTCAGCGCAGGCTTTTCAGAGAGACTGAAAATAAAAGATCCAACAGTTATGTCTCAACACACAAGTGTGAGTGAAAGGGTTTTTACCATGTGCCACTATTGCTTTGTCTGTTACAGATCGTTTGATATGTACGGAGTATACTGTAGTGCAGCAGTCAAACTGTATAGCTGTGATGGCTTTGCTTCGACATTTATCAGGTTAATGCGCTGTATTATTGGATACGTAAGTAAGCACGTTGAGAACGCTGCTTTTGTTATTGTTTTGATCTAAGTCATTCGCTGTAATCCTGAATAAAAGCTTAATTGAGCGACATCTTCTGTTTTGTCATCAGTAAGACATTACAACACGTTTTATTATATTTAAAACACGACACTGCAAATGACAATGCATACGTTTTTCACTTTATCGAAAAGGATGAACTATGAATAGCCTATGAGAACGACAGTGGGACAAACAATGGTATATTCATTCATAATTCCATTTACATGTAACACCGTTTGTCATCCTTTGTAAATTATAACTGTGGTAACTCCAAGTACTTAAACTTTATTTGCCACAACCAATAATTATAAAGCATATGTGTAATACACATTGCTGGCAAATGTTTCAGCTATGTAACAAGATTAGAATTCAACATTAGAAGTTTTCAAAACAATTGCAAATTGAAATATGCAAAACTGTTACCCAATCATATCAGTTGGTGTATTACTTCCAAGTCTTGAATGTGGCTCAAACGGATTTAAAATTTAATTGGTAACACTTTACAACAAGGTTCATTAGTTAACTACATTAGTTTACATTAACTAGGAATGAACAACACTTCTTCAGCATTTGTTCATCTTTGTTAATGTTGATTTCAACATTTACTAATACTTTATTAAAATCTTGTTAACATTAGTTAATGCACTGTGAACTAACATGAACAAACATTGAACAGCTGGATTTGTATTAACTAACGTTAACAAAGATTAACAAAAAGAGTAACAAATGTATTGCTCATGGTTAGTTCATGTTAGTTAATACATAAACTAATGTTTAATAAATGAACCTTATTGTAAAGTGTTACAATTTAATTTTTTAATTTTTACTTTAATCTTTATAACATTATAAGTGGACCTCAGAGAACATTATAAATATAAATAAAATAAAAAAATAAAATAAAGCAGTTCATGACCCTGTCACATTTAGTTAGTATTAGTTTCATTTTAGTTTCCCGCCACTAATCAGTTGTCATGGACATTCATTTAGCTGTATTTAGTTATGTATGTAATGTAAGTTCCTCCTTGTATTCAGCTCTTGGTCTGATATTGTTCGTGTGTAGCACGCTGTTTCATAATATGAAACATGATATGATATTACCTTTGTTGTGTATTGCCCGAGTTTACTTTGTTTTAAAGGGGTCATATAATGCCATTTTTGTACAAGCTAGTATGATTCTTTAGGGTCTAAATTAAAAGTTTGTAATATACTTTAATTAAAAAATCTCATTAGTATTGTAAGAAAACACTTATTTTACCTGGTCAAAAACAGCTCTGTTTTCAGCACGCCGTTTCAGTGCATATGACTTTAAATGATAATGAGATTTGCTCACCCCGCCTCTCTGTTCTGTGCGTACACCATTTGTAACTCAATAACACAATAACCATAACGCGTTGTTCAGTATAAACGTGGGATTATGAATTATATTGAGAACATCATACATAGAAAACATGCCGTAATGTACCCTGAGTGTAAACCTTAGACGCATTCATTGTGAAGCGTGCAGCTAGCGATTTGCAAAGATTAATATAAATATAAAGTTTAAAAAAACGTTACACTCACTTCAGTTGTTCTAGAGGTTCAGCAGGAACACGAATAGCTGGTACTGATCCTTTTTTCATGAGCAGCTTCTTAGCAAATCCAGCTTTATACTGATCCTCGTTTATAAAGCAGTCTGGTGTGAGAAATGATTTGCGCAAACATGAGAGCATTGACGTTGCTCGTGGGGAATATTCCCTTCGAAAACAAACTCAGCCACTGCGTCTTCAGCGGTTCAGATTTAGGAACATTAAAATGACTGCTGTGTTCGTTATTACACCCAAGAACAGAACACCACAATCGCTTAGACGCCATTCTGCTCATAGACAGCGCTCCAGCATATCAACAATGACCGCGCCGGTCCGCGCAGACTATGATTGACAGCTCCCTCATGAGCGAGGGCGGGTCTGTGTTGAAACGCTGCTGTCAATCAACAATCGTGGGAGGGGCGTGCGAGCGTGTGACGTCACAGGCTCGAACGGCTCGATTTGAGACAGGGGAAAACATATAAGGAGATTAAAACAAAAATACTGGATGGATTTTTTTCATTATATGATGGTTGTGTACAGGCACTGCCAACACACATTTCAGTACAATCAACTTGTAAAAGTGCATGTACCATTATATGACCCCTTTAATAAACACGCTTCAGTTTGAATTGAAAATGTTACAGACCCATTTAAACTGTCAGAAAAGTTCTCATTATGGAATTATGAATATCAGCACAGCAGCAAATGTCCTTAACACACAAATACCCCTTTTCCACCAGCCGGTTCGGAGCCGGTGTCTACTCGCGAACCAGTTCTTTGTGTTTCGACAGCCAAAGAACCGGTTCTCGGCCAGGAAAATTGGTTCCAAAGCGGCACCAACTCTTTGCTGGACTAGAACCTATCTTTTACCACGTCATGCTTACGTCGGGGGCTGGGGGCGGGTTACTGTGAACAACAACACGACGGGAATGGGAAAGCTAAGACGTATGGCGACGTACACAGTGACGTAACGACGTCGTTCGCTGGGCTCTCTAGTCAGTGGAAAAACAAACAGGTTCTGAGAAGGTTCGCAAGTTGAACCAACTTTGAACCAGCACCAGTTCCGAACCAGTTCTTTTTTGGTGGAAACGAGGTAAGATTGAGCTTAAATATGGAAGCAGATGCTGACATAAGATTTAACAGAAGAAATAATGACAAGAATATTCTATTCCAAAAGCTTAAACTTTTAGCATTTCATGAGGGGTCGCATGCCTCAATATTAATCAGCAGGACTGTCTGCTATTTGTTTAATTGAGTCTGCTTTGAAAAATAATTAAGTATTACACTTAATAAACCGTTTTAGTCTTTTAGTCTAATCTTGACATCATCTTTAATTAAATCCCAAAGAATACTGCAGATTTTACACTGCCTCTGTGTGATTAGATCTGATGAACACAATCACCTCACTTCAAAGGAACTAAAATCATGTCATCATTTTTCTGGAAACACTCATGAGCGATAAAGCTCAACGGTCGGGTTAAATGTGATAATGTCTCTAACTTCACGACTCAGAATCCTCTCTGTTCTTCCACAGTGTAAACTTGAATTCCAGGCCTGCAGCTCTAGTAAGAGCATCTCTGTGAAGTGTGAAGGGCCGTGTCCCTGCCTGCCAGGACCGGAAGTCATCAAATCACACACAGAGAAGAACGGTGAGTCATTTCCTGTTTGTTAGGATGCTGAAAGGACCCGTGAACGGTCTGAACAGAGATTAAATCTGGAGAAATGAAGACAAGAGCTTGTTATACACTGCACATAGATCCAGTTTGTGTTTTAAATCCATTTACTAGAAATGATCCATTTGTTCTGACTCATGTCAATATATTCTGCATTTCTGCCTGGTTTCTATATATCAGAGATTCCCAAACTTTTTTGTCAGCCGAACCTCTTTGACTCATCCGACCAGGCAACGCTTTTCCAATCTTCTATTGTCTAATGTTGGTGAGCCCGTGTGAATCGCAGCCTCGGTTTGGTGTTGGTCTTCTGCTGCTGTAGCTCTTCTGCTTCAACCTTCAACATGGTGTGTGTTCAGAGATGCTCAGAGTGGTTTTTTGAGTCACTGTGGCCTTTATCAGCTGAACTAGTCTGGTCATTCTCCTCTGACCTCTGGCATCAACAAGGCATTTTCTCCCACAGAACTGCGGCTCACTGGATATTTTCTCTTTTTCACATCATTCTCTGTAAACCCTAGAGATGATTGTGTGTGAAAATCCCAGTAGATCAGAAGTTTCTGAAACACTCAGACAAGCCCGTCTGGCACCAACAACCATGTCATGTTCAAAGTCACTTAAATCAGCTTTCTTCCCCATTCTGATGCAGATCGTCTTGTCCATGTTAACATGCCTAAATGCATTTAGTTGCTGCAATGTTATTGGCTGATATACATTAACAAGCAGTTGAACAGGTGTACCTAATGAATAGGCCGGCAGGTATACACACATATATATATATATATATATATATATATATATATATATATACATACACTACCGTTCAAAAGTTTGGGGTCAGTGAGAATTTTATTTTTATTTTTTGTAGGAAAGAAATCAATACTTTTATTTATCAAGGAATAATTAATTTGATCGAAAGTGACAGTAACGACATTTATAATGTTACAAAAGTCTTTTGAACTTCCTATTCATCAAAGAATCCAAAAAAAAAAAAAAAAACTTTACAACTGACAGACCAACAACTGTTTCAACATTGATAATAATAATAAATGTTTCTTGAGCATCAAATCCTCATATTATACTGATTTGTGAAGGATCATTTGACACTGAAGACACTGACACTGGTGATGCTGAAAATTCAGCTTTGATCACAGGAATAAATTACACTTTACTATATATTCACACAGAAAACAGCTGATTTACACTGGAATAATATTTAATACTATAACTGATTTTTGTTGTATTTTTAATCAAATAAGCGCAGCCATGGTTAGCAGAAGAGAATTCTTTTAAAAGTATTTAAAATCGTACCGACCCCAAACTTTTGAACGGTAGTGTATATATAGGCTTAGGTTACTTTTTACTCTGACGACTTTTAAGTGCAAAAGCATTTTAGGACTGAATGATTTGGATGTTCATACTTGGGTTAACTCTTTAAAAGAACCAACTCAAGCCATAAAGTTTTAAAATCAGTTTTAAAAAAATCTTTCTTCTTGAGCTTTTCATATGCCATATCCACACTGTTTTCCAAAAATCTGTGCATGTGGTTTGGATTGGGTTTGTGAAAGTGGCATTTAGTTTGCTTTTGCTGTTTAGACTACAGAAAAATAAATGTATTTGAGCTGGACACGGCAAAACATTTTTGCTGCCTGTCTGAACAAACCGTAAGAGACACATTAAAAAGCCCAGAGAAAGAAAAACACTCAAGACACAAGAAGTTTTTTATTGTGTGTGTGTGTGTGTGTGTAAAAGTGAATAATGAATTTAGTGTTTTGGGGACATCACAGGAACAAGGTTTCTGGAGGAATTGAAACACAAAGAGAGATAGAGAGCGATGGAGGCACGATGGATGAGTTAATGTGACGTTCAGTTGTATTATTACCCAGAGGAAAGAAACATGTCAAATGAAATATTTTTAACATCTAAGGTTTTTCACATTAAATGAAGAAAACATTTGGATTTTTTTTCTTTACTCTCCAAGATGTTTCTCCTAAAAGAGACCAAATAAGTCACTCATTGTCAGAAATCAGGAATCTCAATATGAACTCATTTCTCATAAAATAATCTGAGCTGCTTTTCATTCATTTTATCACTCTATACTCATACTGATGAATACTTATTTGAACATCTGAGATTAATTAATCTTCATTTTAATGATCGCGATATTGATTCTTAAATCCCTAGATCGATCTTTTAGTTTAAGCATGAGAGCCGCTTATCTCTTCCTCTTTACTACTGCATGAAATAAGCTTGAATGTATGTTGAAAGATACCATACAAGCGATGGACCAATCACAACTCACTGCTCCAGCCAACCAATCAGAACACATTGTGCTCTTCGGAAGGAGGCGCTTCATAGAGACAGGAACTAAACGGGTGCGTTTCCCAAAAGCATAGTTGGTAATGATGATTCAATAACAAATAAATTTTTTTTACAATATAACAATAAATCAATATAATCAATAAATGCGTTATTTTAAGCACCAAGTTTCTATCAAAAGCTGATTTTGATCGCTATCGTAGACATCAGTGTTCATATTTGAACTTTAAACTTTTATCCAAGTACTTCTATGATAATTTTAAATATTGCATCGCAGAAATAATGATACTATGAGGTTGAAACGACTGTTTGTGAAGCTGTTTCATGACAAAACTCTCTCCGGGTCAGCGGCAGCGCCAACACAGCTTTGAATGTTGCGATATGATTTTGTCAAAGTTTAATAGACAGACAAATTGAAGTATCGCGTGGGTGTTTAAATCGAGATCACAGTCTTTTAAATATTGAGTTCACTCAACATTCTACTAAGCAATTACTTAGTAGATTCTATCACGTTACATATAATTTTAAGTAAAGACTGTTGAGTGAACTCAAATATTTAAGTACAAATAACAAAGGTTTTCTTGTTAATTTTAAGTAAAATTATTCCAAGTTAGATTTACTTAAAAAGTTGATGCAAAAATGGTGCATATATATTTTAAGTAAATCCAACACAATTTTTACCAGTGTAGTGTGGATACTTTACAAAGCGTCAGTTCTGGCAGGTCACGTTAGTCAAGCTCGCATCAGCTGACTCTCAGCTGATCCACGTCTACCTATAGGAATATGACTATCACTATCACTGTATACATATATAAGCTCCTTCAGTATTATCAGCAGCTATCGCGTTTCTCAGGAGCTCATTACCCTCCTCCATCCCCAGCTCCTCCTCTCGCCCTGTCAGCATTTGGCATTCTGATTCCCCTTGAATCAGAATTAATTCTCGAATAATGTTGTACTTTAAAATCTTGAATTAATGATATCTCCATACATTCATGTTGCTTCTGATCTGTTTTATCGCTGCTCTCCATGCTCTTATCCATGCTAGGCTGCACAGGGAGTTCTCGCCCACAACGGAACCATACCGCCAATCCAAACTGTATGCTAATTTGTTAATCTTATTTGACGATAGTGGTCATCAGGGGCGTAGCAGCCATTATAAAAGTGGGGGGGACAAAATGGTGTGGTGATGTGACCCAAAGGTCAGTCCTTCCAGAAAAATGCAGAGTTTTTTTGTGATTGTTGCGGGCAAAAATCCTTGATTATGCGGCGATGGAATATGCAGGATATTTGCAATTTTATGTGATGAAATTGCGGGAACTTGCAAAAACTGCGGTTTGATGAAAAAGAGAGAAAAAGTGATTCCCCAACACCCTGTTCTCACTAGGCTACTACTAATGTAAAGAGCTATTTCTTATTACTTCCTATGATAAGCAAACATACTACATCACAGAAAGTGCTGGAATATTTAATCTTGTTTTATTTCAGACCTTAATAAACGCATGGCTCAAACTTACAAAACATTGATGAGTCAAACAAGTTCTGTAGCTTTACAAAAGGAATATGCTACAACTTCTGTAAAAATTAATAAATAAAATATGAAAAAATGTTTCCTGTTTTACAGCTTTTTTTCATTTTTTTTTTTCAATGATGTTCATGTCGAGTAATTATGTCACTTCATAACGTTCCCATGGCAACCGGGGGAAACGGCTGCTCTCGTGTGAAGCAAACGCAACATTTTTCAACTTTCTGCTAAGATATGTGACTTTTTTTTTTGCAACAAAAATGCGGGGATTATGAAATCATACAAGCCCCGCATATTTTGCGTGGAAATCGGCAATTTTATACGGCAAAAGTGCAGCGTATTTGAAAAAATGCCCCCGCATAAATATGCGGACTTTGGCTGATTATTGAATCATGCGATCGCATAATCGCGTTTTTCTGGAGGGACTGAAAGGTGATGTTCATAATAATAAATTCTAGATGGAATAGCAATTGGCATTTTACAGCACCCTAGTGCCAATTTTGGGAACATGCCATGATAGTTTACAGCAACCTATTTTTGTGAAATCATACTCGAAATAAAAAAATATTGCAGGACTTGGGACTTTCAGACAACTGTGGACATATATACTTTATTTTTTATGAAATAAAGATATTTTATGATATTTACAATATTTCAGTTAAACTACACTTGAACAATAACTTTCATCTTACTTCTTAACAGTTGGACCAAAAAAAAGTGTTCAATGAGTACAGAACAGATTACATCTAGCCTACAGTAATTTTATACAACAGACATTTTATAAAAATATATCAATAAAACCTAAATCAATGTATTCGGTATTGGACATCAATTTAACATTGACATGTTGAATTTACATTGAATTTTGGTCATCCGACGTCGCAACCAAAATTTAACCAAATATCAACGTCTTATGACGTTGTGTGCCTGCTGGGAATAATCTGTTAGGTCTCATTTAACAGACGCTTTTATCCAAAGCAACAAGTAGGAGAGCATTTAACACACACTCGGCACAATCCGGCGCGACGTGACGAGGCCATACGGGTTCTGTTGTCTTACACGTCTTACAGCGTTACAGTAGGTTAAATCATAACAAGGAAACTTTACGTGTGATTCATGTCATCGCGACATACTGTAACAG